TACAGGACTGCCACTGCCACCGGAAGGGCACCATCCCAGGTGATGGAGTGCAGTGAGCATCAGTCCTGCTCTTCACAACTTTGTCAGAGCCTGGTGGGTTTTTTTTTTAAAGAAGAAACTGGTGGGGGGGTGGGGGGTGGGGAGCAGGGCTGGCTGGGCTGGGGATTTAGCTCAGCGCAAGGACCCAAGTTCGATCCCCAGTACCAAAAAAAAAAAAAAAAGAAGAAGAAACCTGGGCTCCCTGGGTCACAGTGGGCCTGGCACGGGGCAGGCCTAGTGGGGGAGTCCCCTGCTCCTCCCCAGCCACCGCACAGCCTCTGCCCACTGCGGTGACAGGGCCTTCTCGAGGAAGTCAGTTTCCTTTCCATCGCAGATGCGCTCTGCTGCTTGATGTCTTCCAGCCCCTCCCCTTTCTGCCCAGGTTTTTGTTTTATTGTTTTTCAGTACTGGGGATTGAACCCAGGGCCTTCATACTGAGCTGCATTGCCAGTCCCCCCTGCCCCTTGAGACAGGACATTGCTAAGTTTCCCACCCTGGGCTTGCCGAAACTTGTAGTTGCCCTGCCTCAGCCTCCCAGAGTGCTGAGATTATAGTCATGCGCCACCATGCCCAGCTCGCCCAAGTATTTTTCAGGTACTTTCTTCTTAGCACCTCTGACTCCTCGTCCAACCACACTGTCCCCCCATGATTGCCTCCCACTCAGAGCTGGGAGAAGCCACAGAAATCAGCTCTACTCTGCCTTCCCCCACTCCAAGCTGCCTGGTTTTGTTTGGAAATATTCTTTCTAATACTATGCCTTTTGAGCTGAATATTTTACGAAGGAAGCCCAGAATCACTGCAGAAGTACCTGGTTATTTAAAATTATAAATTAAGCCCATTCACAATTTTTTGAACCAGCGAGCCTTAGTGAGGCACTGACATTTCTCAAAGAATAAATTTTAGAATCCATTTGCACGGAATAGAACAGGGCATTGAGGCGTTTCCTCACATCTTTGTGTCTACAAACTATAGAAAGGTGATGTATGTGTATGTGAGGCAGGCACATATGCGTGTACTTGGTTTATTTTACTTCATCTGTTCTGTCTATTTTATGAGCTTCAGCTGAAATCTAAGAAAAAATGATGTTTGATTTTGGGTCTAAGTCTTTAGATGTGGATCTGCCTTGACTGACACCAGGAGTCTGTGACTTTGAGAAGTCCCTGGCCTGTCCTTGCGGGTATAAACCAAGCAGGGTAAGGCGCTGGCCGGGCAGGCTGTGCTGTGTGCTGGGTACCAGGAAGCTGTCCTGATCGGAGGCGGGGGTCTTTGGGCGGTGCCAGCCCTGCATTGAGCCTGACACCCTAAGAATGGTATCTAGAGGCTGTCCGGCAAACTCAGCCCGCACAAGGGAGCTACCCAAATCCTGGGATCAAGCAAAGATGCAGGACACATTCTTCTTTCTGAAGAGTTTTGTTTATGCATCTCCTCGTGGCTTTTCTTTTCCATGAAAAACGCTTTGTCCTTTGTCTTCTGCTGCTGGCCCTGGTTATGGACTGAACACTGATGTGAGTAGTTCCCAAATAGGAAATTAAGGAGCTGTTGTACCCTGAGCGGCTGCCTCCCATTCCGCCTGGGGGCTGCCCCGTCCCCTCCTCATGGACCCTTACTTTCCTGCTGCTTTCTCTGCGTGCTGTGGGCACCCTTCCTGCTCTGCAGCCCTTGGCCACAGCCAGTGCCAGGCCTGCTTTCCTGGCCTGAGATGGCTTTCGGGGCATCTTTTCAGGTCCATCCCAGAGCCACCAGACTGTGTCCCACGAGGCAGGCTCTGCTGCAGGGACCCTGTCGCTGAGGAGGGAGTCCCTGCTGGCTCTCAGCCCAGCAAAATGTTTAAAACATTTAAAATGACAGGACAGATTTTCCGAGATGCACATGGGTGGGGGGCTGGAGTGAGGGGAAGACACTGTGGGAGACCAGCACTGAGGGTGAAGCTGTGGTGGTGTTGTGTGTGCTGCCTGAGGAGGCAGAGGAGCAGAGATGCCTGTCAGGCAAGGCAAAGGTGCTTCAGATGAGCAGGCTGCAGGGAACAGGCGCAGGCGACTCTGCCTGGGGACAGGTGAGAAGCTTGAAGAGCACTGTGGCATCGCAGGTGGCTCCAGGTCAGGTCTCAACGCTCAGAGGGTCCCGAGGGGGCAGCACACGCTCCTGCTGCAGCGATGGCACGGGCACACCAACAGTTCCGAGAGGGCCAGGAGCTTCCAGGATTTTGAAGCCGCTCTTAACGCCCCCGCACTTGTGTGGAAACAGATGCCGTTGCAGGGCACTATGGTCGTCTGTCCAGCGCATCCTTCAGGGAGGAAAGACAGAGACCGTAGGAGGGCCTGGGCACAGTGGAATCCACAGGCCCACTTGGGATGAGTGAGAAAGAGGTTTGGTATAGACTGGGACCTGCCACCCCCTGGCCCTCCAAATACGGTTTTCCCGCACAGTGTGGACACATGGCAGGAGGAAGGACTGGGTTTGGAAGAATGGAGAAAAGGAAACAAGCTAACTCTCTGGGGGAAAACTTTGAGACCACAAGGATGAGGAGGTCGCAGCCCTGTCATTCTAGAGGAGGCTGGTGCAGCTCTGCTCAGGAAATGTGGGTGTGCTCCAAGGACATGACCTGCTGACCCCTCCGGAGGCCACACTGCCACCCCAGCCTGTTGGGCACACCTAGAATTGGCACCAAAGGTGCCCTTGGCTGCAGCACACAGACGCCTCCAAATTCAGCACCCGCTCACCGCAGTAGAAGACTCAGGCACATCCTGAGTCCCTTGTATTTTTGGATAGGGGTTGTTCTTGGAATAATCTGAAAAGTATAATTTCAGTATTTTTTTGAAGAAAAATTAAAGTCATATTAAAGATTCAAAACTCTTACAAGGTGCTTTTCACTGAGTGAGTAAGAAAGTGTGACCGGCTACTCCCCGGGCCCCCGTGGCTACCATTTTTTGAGTATCTGCTCCTGCCTTAAGGGATGGCGACCACAGGGCTCTCTGTAGTCTTCCTGGTAGAAGCTGGGTCCCACAGAGGCTCCATGAGTGGTGGGCTTCCAGGCTGGGCTGTCCCCATGGGAGGACCTGGGGACCCACCAGGAGGCCATTTTTGCAGGGCTGTGAGCAGAGGTTTGGCCTGTGAAGATGAGGATACGGGAGGCGTCGGGAAGCCCATGTGGAAGGTTCCACTCCCGACCAACGGGTGCTCTCTCTTTTCTCAGTCATCGCTCATGACGTCACGGCTGGGGAATCCTGATCCCATTTGCTCAGGCCCTGCAGCCCTGCCCAACCCTCAGCCTGGCCTGTGCCTTGCAGATCACTGGGCTCCCTGAGTGAGTGCCCTCTGTCCCTGTTCTGCCCTCCACTCGTCTTCCCCGGGCCTGTCCTCTTCTGTCACCTCCACTTGGCCCCAGAGCCCTCGGTGCTGCATCCTCAGTCTTCCTGCTCTGCTAGCTGCTGCTCCTCACCTACAAACAGAGCGTCCCCATCCTTCCTACTCGACCGCCACCCTTCCTGCTGTCCTCAGCGTGGTCCACACTGATTGCTCCTTGGGCTCTCTGACCTGACTGCCATGGTGTGGTTGCAGGCTGGGCCGGCCTCCGGCGGCGTGGCCTGGGCAGGTTACTTAATTTCTCTGTTCCTTGGTCTCCCTTGTCTGAAGAATGAGTATCTTAAGACACCTTCCTGGCAGGGGGGCTTGTGAGAATTAAGCAGGGCTGGCGCCTGTCTCCTAGAAAGTGCCATGCAAGTGTCTCCTGCTGCTTGTCCACACCCCTCCTTCCTGAAGCTCTTCTTTCAAGCTTTCCCTAACATTGGCCGTGCCTGGCCTTTCTCCTCTCCAAACCCTCGTACGCTTCTGATTTTATTCCCTTGCTTCTCTTTTTTGCTCTCCACATGGAGGTGTGAAAAATGCAGCCTCGACTCTGTCGCCTCCTCCCCTGGGCCCTGGGGTGGCCGACACCCAGCTGTCCTCCCCCAGACTAGCCTGCACCCAGGCCCGGGCCCAGCACCCCAGATGCCTTGATGATTTTCTCATCGGAATCTTGCACCTGACACTCAGGAGTCCCTCAAATGTTACAATGTTTGATTTAGTCTTTTTTTAAAGTGTTAAGGCTTGTTATAGACAACTCTGAAAACTTAAAGGAAGACAGTACACCTCCTTAGCAACCTCTCTATTGAGCAGGCACCACCACCGGACTGGGTTGTGTGTCCTTGTGTCTTTCCCCCAGAAGACATCTGGCAGCGTCTTGGAGACATTTTGGGTTGTTGACTCAATGTTGGGGGTGGTTCTGTAGCAGCCAGGGATGCTGTGTACCTTTTTTTTTTTTTTTTTGAGACAGGGTCTTACTAAGTTGCTGAGTTGACCAGGTGGGGCTCAAACTTGCAATCCTCCTGCCTCAGCCTCTAGACTGCTGCAATCACAGTGTGTGCCACTGCACACCCCCACACTGCTCAACATTTTATAATGCACAGGATAGCCCCCCATGGGAAGGGATTATTTACTCCAACAGTGCAGGGGTCCAGAAGCCCTGGTCTGTCCCTCTCTATAGAACAAGATGGCAATGTTCTCTTCCTGCCCACCCTGCTGTCTCTGTCAGGGAGCCTGTCTTCTTCTCTCTCCTTCCCGGGGCCATGACAGAGCCCATGTAGACCTGTGTGTCACCTCGCAGGATCTCAGGCAGCTGTCCCTTCTTGTCTCTCTGATTGTGACATTGATGGCTAATGAAAACACTTCCCACCTGTGGCCTGGCCCTGTGCTTGGAGATGTCCAGAGACCCCGCCTCGGCCCTGGTGAGCTCAGTCTCGACTGGCAGGGTCCAAGCTTCTGTCTGACAACAGCTTCTAAGGATAGCAGCTTCTGTCTGACTCCTCTGTGTGACACTGTTCTGAGCACACAGCACTATGTAAGTCTTTGTCACACATATATGGACAAATAGTTGGATGAAGAAAAACCTAGAAAGTCTCCCCCCTGCTCCCTCTGTCTTGCAGATCCTGGAGGAATGGTTTGGCCGGACCATCATCCGCTCCTGCACCAAACTGAGCTACGAGCATGCGCAGAGCATGATCGAGCGGCCAGCCGAGAGGATCCCCGAGCAGGAGCTGCCCCCCATCTCCCCGGAACACTGCATTGAGGAGGTGCACCAGGCCATCCTGAACCTGCACAGGATTGCAAAGTGGCTTCGCCAGCAACGCTTCACAGACGGCGCGCTCCGCTTGGATCAGGTCAGTGAGTGTTTCTCGCTAGATTTGACTCGTGCCTGATGCCGGGGGGTGGGGGGGGGGCGAGAGGCAGCATGGCGCTCTCCATCTCTGCTCCTTTCTCGCCACTGCACCACGTGCTCCCACCCACCCTCCAGGACCCATGGGTCCATGAGGCCTGGTGACAGGAGCCATGGCAGAAGGGTGCTGCTTGTGTAGGTGGCCTGTGACCTGAACTCCAGGTCTTCCCTGGAAGACTGTCTGGGATCCGATCCTCACCCCAGGTTCTGGCCTTGGATCCCTTTTCGTGGAGGTAGGAGCAGGAGACAGGGCATTTGGGAGGCAGCTGGCCAGTGTCTGATCCTAAGACTCCAAAGTCTTTTTAACCCTCGTCTCCCCAGAGCTATCTGTACAAATCCACATCAATCTTGGATGCAGCAGAGAGCTGAGGAGCACGTAGAACGTTAGCTCAAAGCAAACAGAGGTCCCACGTGCCACTGCTGACCCAAATATCACAGCCATTTGTCAGCCTGCTGGACTTAGGCAGCTGTCACCTGAACTTGGGGGAATTTCCACGTCCCAGAGACGCTAGCTGTTTCTTTGTTGCTTGTCAATACGTTGCACAGTGGAGCCTGAGTGGTGCAGTGTGGCAGTTTTTCCTTTTCCATGTGCCTTTTGTACCCACATTGTGTGCCGGGGGAAGCCTCCATGTGTCTGAGAAGTGAAATGGTCAGTGGCAAGGCCACTGGACTGATGGCACGGCTCGCCGCATAGAACTCTTCCCTGGGCCTCTGCTGGGAGCATCTGAATGGCCTGCTCTAAAGCCTTCCAGTGAAGCTCTGATTTCATTCTATCCCCTGTCATAAGTGTGTGCAGAGGCCTCTTAGAAGGCCTTGCGAGTAGGCGCTGCCCAGGCCTCAGAGGAAGTGAGCTGCTCTCAGGACAGTGGCCGAGCAGCCTGGGCTCCCTGTGCTGGCAGTCAGGGCAGAGCTGGAGCCCTGGGGCCAGCAGTTGGGGCAGGCGTGGGTGCGTGACAGTGCCCAGAGGTGCGGGCAGATGGGGTGAGAGCTGGTCGAGGGGCTGGAGGAAGAGGCACTGAAGGCTGGGAGACTGCAGGTCTTCTACTTGCAGCGGAGTCCCAGGCACTCTTGATTCCTGCCCACCAGCGCCCTCGATTGTCAAGTCCAGGAACTTTTGCAGTTCTTGCGTCCTGGCCTTCCATCCTGCCCAAGGCCCTTTGAAGCCACCTCCTGGGTCTCTGTGTCCCCTTTGCAATCCTGCTCACCACTTCAGGCTTGGCGTCCCTGGGAGCTACCTGCCTCCCTCTCCCCGTCCATGCTCTCTCCCTGAACACATTCCTCTACTCAGGATTTCGACTACCAGCTGGCTGGGTGGATGCTAACAACATGGACGCTGGCTCTGTAGTTCTGCCTCCTGCTCCAGCTCCAGACTGGTCCGTCCACCTGCCCTCTTAAACTCTCCCACGGCCATCTCACCATCCTTCCCCTGCAGAAAGCATGCGCTCCACCTTAGGCGCACCACACACACTGCCCGTGCCGCTGCTTCCTGTGCCCCCACCGGGGGTTGGGCCGTCCCAGACCTGGGAATGCCAGTTGCACCTGTTGTTGTAATTATGCAGTTTTACCAAATACTAGGTCAACTGATCAAATACAAACATAAAAAAGAAAAGTGTTGTCTTTATGTAAACTATTTTGGAAAGACCTGGATAAGTCCAAGTTTTGCTCTTTGGATGAGACAACTATAAAAAAGCAGAGGAAATCCTGAAACTTAGGAAATATTTTATACTCAAATTGCTTTATAAATGTCTTAAAGTCAGTGAATTGAGTATAGTGTATTGAGAAAAGACAATGTAGAAAGCTAATTAGCAAACTTCTTTTTTTTACTTTTTTCAAAGACAGTGAATGATGTATGTTTATATAAATTAAGTTAAAACACAAAATGTTTAATCACATATGTACCTCTTCTGCATAACTCCCTTCTTTACCTGACTTCTAGAATAACTAACCAACTGCTGCTCTAGCACAACAAATGTGTGGTTTCTGCTGTAAAGTTTTTAGACCCATCACCCCATCAGGCTGATGTGCACTTCGTTTGGATTAAATGCACGAATGCATGAAATACTCGGCAAACTAGAAGAGACTGTGGGCGACCTCAGTGCACGCCGGGGTAGGTCTGGTCCCCAGACGGGAGTGAGCACAGGTTGTTGATAGATGAGTGGTGGTGAGTGGGTGTGAGCATGGAGTGTGTAGGGAAGCAGCTTTAGGTGTCTCCATCTCATTGGCCCTCTCGATTTACAAAGTAGAAAGCAGAAGCCCCCAAAGGCTCACTGAGCTGCTTCTATGCAAAACATCCAAGGAGTGCTTTGTTCAGTTTTCCTCCATTTATACCATGCTGACTTAAGAGAAAAAAAGTTTTCCTGAGGGGGATGTCTTCAAAAGTCCTAATTAGGTTCCAGTTCATTAACATTTGAAAAATAATGACTTTGCGTCTTTGGACTTGATTCCTTGGTTAGCCAGAAGACAAGTCTGTGGACCCCAGCATTAGAAAGAGGAGACATCAGTCTCCTGCAGCCGGGACACTGGTGAGATCGTTTATAAATCAGCTAAATGGCCCCATTCAAAAGTCACTGTGTTTGTTCTCCTGTCCCTACTGCCTGATTTTGCCCTCACAAAAATCCATTTTTCCTGGATGCTTTCTGAGTAGCCTAGTGTTTGGAGTTGTTCTCTGAAGCTTTATTAACCTCAGCTCACTATGTCCATGGTTTTTTGTGGCAGTCCAAAAAAATAAAAAATGACCTCCTTTTGTGCTAGCTTCAGTTAGGGGTTAGTCTGAGAGGAGCTGCTGTACACATTGTACAGTAGACCCCTGGGTCCAGCATGCACTGCTGCACCAGCAGTTTGGGCTTTCCAGGCTGCGGGTAAGGTACGAGGTACTAATTGGCACCTGTGTGGAGTCAGGGGCAGAGCCTGATAACCTCAGAAACAGCAGAGCAGCTGGGCCAGTGGGTGTTTGCAGTTGGCAGCTGCCCCACCAGCCCCAAGACTGCCTCTGGCTCTGGCCCCGGGTCACTTACAGTCCTGTTGCTGACAGTGCTGCATTGTCAGAGACCAGCAAGCTCTCTCTGTCCTGTGATGGGAGAAGATCTTCAAGGTATCATTGCCTGCTCCAAATGTCTTTTACCTCCAGCTCAAGCCTGGCTCTAGAAAGTGTCTCATTCCATGAAATGACTCTCCTTTGCTCCATGACTGGAAAAGCAAACACAGGCCTCAGATGCTGTCTCCAACTCTGTAGTGGGATGAGCTGAAAAATGTCCTTCCTGGGTGGTTTCTTCCTCTCCATGTTTTCTGCTTCTGTGATAATCCAAGGATTTAATCTAGCTGTTCATTTTACTTGTCTACTCTAACATGTCTCTCCTGCTCCTTAAAAGGAGCTCCCATCATGGGGCTGGCCTTTTTGTGCTTTAGCCAAAGAAAGCACAGAGGTTTGTAATCACCTGCATCCTGAGCTTCGTGAGGGTGAGCTGAGGGAGACCCTGCCCCTGCCTGGTTCTCCCAACTTCGGGATGGGTGGGACACAAAGCCTGCCCCTGCCTGACTTCGAGGGGAATAGGGCCTTGGGCTTTTTTGGGGTTCTGTCGTAGCCATTGCCTTCAGAAAGATATGGGAGAAAGGTAGCGGGCTCCCAAATAGAACCCTAGTACGAAATATCTCAGGAGCACTGATTAATTTTAGGAAATGGCACCTAGCACTTTCTGGGGCTTTCTCAGCCTGCTTCAGATGAGGGGCTCTGAGAGAAACCAGCCGGGCCGCTGGGTCCCCAGGTAGGCCACACCTTGGGAACAGTGTGACTGCCGAATTCAGAAGGCCCTGGAAGTCAGTGAAGAAAACTGGTGTTTCCATCTTCTAAGGCAAATTCCCCCGAACCAAAGGAGCCTTACCTGAGCTGCATTTATATGAATCTCACTGACACAGTTTTGGTTTTGGTTTTGGTTTTGGTACCAGGGATAGAACTCGGGACCTTGTGCTTGTGAGGCAGGCGGCAGCACCACTGAGCTAAATCCCCAGCCTCACTGACACAGTTTGGAAACCCAAACTTCAGTTTCTTTGTAGACTTAATTGTAAAGATAACTTTGTTGGTTTTTTTTCAATTTGCAGTGCTGGGGACCCAACCCAGGGCCTCTGTATGCTAAGCAAGTGTTCTGCACTGAGCTGTAGTGTAGCCCCAGCCACTAAGATGACCTTTTTCTTGGAAATTGCCCCTCCTGCTCTGGATCCGAGCTGCTGGGGACACTATTGTGTCCGACCTTGGCCTGGCCCAGCTGTGAGTCAGGGCTCGGCGGACTTTTCCTAGTCAGGGTCAGAGAGTGGCAGTGTGGGTGGCCATGTGCTTGACATGGGTAAAGGTGGGTGTGCACCAATAAAACTTGAAAGACACTGAGATTCCAATTTCATGTAATTATCATGTGTCACAAAATACTGTTCTTCTTTGGATTATTTTCAACTGTTTTAAAATGTAAAACCCATTAGTTCCTGGGTCACAAGCAGGCTTGGCCTGTGGTCCCCATTTTGGTGAACTCTGGGTAAGTGACCGGCAGGCCTGGGCCCATCATGCAGTGAGCTTTTAGCAGCTCATCAGCACTGCCCCGGGAAGCCCGGCTGGCTAATGGAGAACAGTTGAGCTAAGTTAGCTCACAGGATGGTTTCGTGCAATTAAGTAAATTATTCTTTTGATTAGTACTGTGTTTAGCAGGTCCAATTAGAGGCTGGAAGCAGAGGAACAAATCCATTTAGCTCCAGTTCCCTCACCCCATCTATGGCCAGGTCACTTTCATCAGCTGGAAGCCAAAGGACCAAGCGCTCAGTCCCTCCGCAGGCTCCTCACAGCCCACCGCCACCCCTGCACCTTCCCCAGCACTTAAATAAACAAGGTGTGTCGGCGAGCTCCAGTACAGCTGCTTTCACGAAAGGACCGTCCAGCTTTTTGTTTTTAATACATGATGATAT